ACTTCTTTGTTTGGTGTTGCTGTTGTAGATACGTTTGTTGTTGTTATTGTTGTTGTTTTTGTTTTTGTTTTTGTTGTTGGGTTTTTGTTTGTTCTTGTTGTCGTTTTTCTTGTTTTTGATATTACCGTTGTTGTTTTTTTGTATTTATAGATGCTCCTATTATTGTTTTTGTTGTACATGTATTTTGTTGTTGTTGTTATTTGTTTGTTTTTGTAGTGTTGGTATAGTTGTTGTTGTTGTTGTTATTGTTTTGTTATTGTTGTTGTTGTTGTTGTTGTTGTTGTTGTTGTTGTTGTTGTTGATAGTTCTTTATTCATACTTCGTCATCTGTTTTATTTTGTTGTAAGTTGAGTCCCTTACAAATTCCAACTTTAGAAAAGAGAAGCACAGAAGTGGTCATTTAATACTGGGGAACAAAAAATACGACAGAAACAACAGAATGAAAAACAAGACATACCAATGGCGCCTTCCATCCACCTGCAATCATGATCTCCATTGCCCTTCTCATCGTCAACCAGGGTATGGGCCACAGACAAACTTTGTTTTACTTATCTTGGGATAGCCTTTTAACCCTCTTCGTACGCCCTGGGGTCATTTTGTACCCCCGGGGTTGTATTCTTTACATTTTTTAATACTTCTTGTGCGAAGATATCTTTGAAACTTTCAGTATTTCTCAAAAAAATAATTTTGACAGATTGCTATGCCAAGCGTCCGGATCGGATCAACGAGTACATTTCCTCTTTGGAAAGTGGTGGCATAGAGTTCCCCACGTCGTATGGATACGACAGTAAAACACGACGTACGGATAGGGTTAACATTACTCCACGCCTCTCATTTTTTCTGAGACTTTTTTCTTGATCTCACGTGCCCACCCCACCCCCCACCCTTGATCTCTTACCCTGTGGATCCCAATCCGACATTTTCTTTGTCATTTTATGCAGCTTCCAGGCTTTCTGAGGGTATGTCTAATCCATCACCACACCCTTATACGCAGTTCAGCTCCACATTATGCTACAGGACTTTTAGATAGATTTCAGCCTACAATTAAATTTCGACTGAGGTTACTTGGTACTTTATTTGGTTGCAGAATAGGCGTCACAATGCCATAGCTGCTCCTTCCTCCTCTCCAGGACCCATGAAAGGGTCTGCCCGTTGATCGTGCCAGTTAACAGCTGGTTGGATATTCTTTTGGCTTTTCCACGCAGGTTGCTGTCTCTCCCCGACCCTCTAGAGTGACCAGCTTTTCTTAGTCTATCCATTTTGTTTATGCACATCGGGTCGGGTTCTTGTCTTCTGTCCCCAGGTCTACACTGGCATGTGGCGATAATCCGCATGTTGCAGAACCAGAGCACTGAGCACAAACCATACGACGCCTTTTATCTGCATAAGCACCGGGCATCTTTTCTGAGCCAACAACCGTCGCCCAGACTGCTCACAACTCACGTCCCCTTCAGGTTAGATCAACGCTTGCCAGCCGGGGAGGGGGGGAACATAGTCTACAAGTGGAGAGTTTTTTAATTAATTTTTTTTTAACCCTATCCGTACGCCCTGGGGTCACTTTGAACACCCGGGGTTGTATTCTTCATAGTTTAGAATACTTCTAGTGCGATCTTAATCGATGTTTCCAGTTGCATGTGCTCCAGAAATATTTATTAAAAATTCTGATTCTCGGAATAAAAGCAGACAGGACAATAATCATATTTTCCTTCTTTTTTCCTTTCATTTCAGGTACCTACCAAAACAGGCTTTTGAGAAGAAGATCAAAATCGTGTACCTCAACCGGAACCCGAAGGATGTCATCGTGTCCTACTTTTCTCACAGGGCCAGCAACTCGGGTCAGATGCACTACCCGGGGACGTTTGAACAGTTCTATTATCTCCTCTTGGAGGTGGGCTGTGAGTGCTTATTTCATTCTTTTATTTATTGTATACTCTATACGTACGCCCTGGGTCATTTTGCTTCTGCAGGAGTTGTATCCTTCACATTTTAGAATATTTCTTGTACGAAGATCTATGTGAAACTTTCAGTATTTCTCAAAACAGCATGTAGACAGACTGCTAAGCAAAACGTACGGATCGGATTGACGAGTAAATTTTCTCTTTTTGGAAGGTGGTGGCACAGAGTTCCCCACGTCGTATGGATACAATAGTAAAACACGACGTACGGATAGGGTTAAAGTATAAGTAAACTTTCACCACCCCCCCCCCCCCCGACCCCCACGTCCCTCACAAATCTCCTCTATATCTAGACCACGCCTATTTAGTCCTACACAAATCTTCTCTATTTCTAGACCACCATGGCCACATCTTCGACAACTTGCTGCAATTCCAGGAAGGACAAGACTCCATGCCTGACGTTCCCATCTACACCTCCATGTTTGAGGATATGAAGACGGTGAGCATCTCTAGGCCAGCCTCACATAGAGCGTCACTCGACGTGTCACACGGGTGAATAGACATGGGTCACGCGTGTAAGCAAAAGTGTTCAGTGTGTTATGGCGTGGTGGAATCCGGCGCTCGTCAATTTTTGGGCATGTGGAGTTATTGGGGCCATCTTAAAGCTTGTTCAGTTGTCTTGTTATGGGTGAAGAAAATACCCATCTATCTTGAAGAGAAGTCAAGTTATTTGAGATTGAAGAAGGTTCGGTCATCTGGTTTCAAAGGTAGAATAAGTGAGCAAATGGCCACCAAAGTCTGGTTATTTCCATAGTTTGATAGTTCGTGACCACTGAAAACTTACAAGTTTTGTTCCTTTAAACATCGTTTTTCAGTAAAAATCCGCCCAGAATTTTTTTTCTTAATGGGACAACAATGGTGTTAAGCCAAAAAAAAAGAGTAATTCGATAAAAATTGCCAAACTAGCTGAAAAATGCAGTTTCTTCTATTTCATTATTTTGACGAGTGCCTGATTTCACCACGCTGCCTCACATATTTTAAACGGTACTCCTCACATAAGCAGTTGCCTCACGCTAGTCACGTTGTAAATACCAAGACAGGCTTTTGAGAAGAAGATCAAAATCGTCTACCTCAACCGGAACCCGAAAGATGTCAAACGAGGGGAGGAATGTGCATGCTGATTCTTTTTGAGGCGTGTCTTGTCACCTCCTGCGTTGAGTACAGCAGATGTGTGCTTATCCCACCCGTAGCAAACTGTCGAAAAAGCATGCAAGCAGAAAAAAGAAAACAAGCATGCAGAGACAATGAGGACACTAATGGATGACAAAACCTAGATTCTCTGTGATCAGATAAAGTGAGGCGTGTAATGTTGCATGTCTGTAGTCAAACGTGACACGTGAAAGGTCACGTTCTGTGTGAGGAGGGCTTTACTGGGAGGTGTCATGTGCATACATGTACCCAAATAGATACGTGAAGATAACTCTCTCAGTAGAGAGCAATAAGAAAACTGTTCTGTTTAAATGTGAAGTTTAGGTGTGTTGACCTGTACGTGCCCATATGTGACCATGTTTGAGGATAATAATATCAAGATGGTGAGGATATCTACTGAGATGAGTGCATGCATGTACCCACAGATACGTAAAGATACGTCTCTGAGCAGAGCACGATAAAGGATCAGTTTTGAGTCTAATGTGAGGATGTGTTGACCTGTGTGTGCCCATATGCGACCATGTTTGGGGATAATAATATGAAGACGGTGCGGATCTTTACTGAGATGTGTCATGTGCACACATGTACCCACATAGATACGTAAACATACGTCTCTGAGTAGAGAGCGATAAAAGAAATTATACAGTTGTGAATCTGATTTGAGGATTTGTTGACCTGTGTGTGCCTATATGCGACCATGTTTGAGGATATGGAGATGGTGGGGAACGGAGAAGTATGCACGCATGTACCTACAGATACGAGAAGATGCCTCTCTGAATAGAGAGCGATAAAGGAAATTGTTCAGTTGCGAGTCTGATGTGAGGAGTTGTTGACCTGTGTGTGCCTATATGCATCCATGTTTGAATATAATAATATTATGTCTCTACTCCTTACGTCTAGGATAAAACAATGCATCCTTACTCCTTACGTCTAGGATAAAATAATGCATCTCTACTCCTTACGTCTAGGATAAAATAATGCATCTCTACTCCTTGCGTCTAGGATAAAATAATGCATCCTTACTCCTTACGTCTAGGATAAACTAATGCAACCTTACTCCTTACGTCTAGGATAAACTAATGCATCGCCCCTCCTTCTGTCCAGGACCCGGCACAAGGTGTGAAGAATCTGAACCAGTATCTGGGCACGGGCTGTAGCGATGCGCTGTGTGAAGAGATAGCTGAGGCCTGCCAGTTCCGCAATCTCCAGCCCGCGAAGGAAGGCGACCCACCAGGGTTCGACGAGAATGAGTTCAAGAACGGAACCCCGACCTTCTACAGGAAAGGTGAGCTGAACATTTAGTGTAGGCACAGTTGGCGAGATAGAATAAAACTGCAATTAGGCTAGATGGGTTAAACGTTTAACGTGCTTAATAATGGGTTAAACAGTTGGAGTAAATAAAATATGTTTGTTGTTTTATGCAGTACTCGTAGAGGTAATTTCATCTGGCGCAATTGGTCAAACACAAGGGGGGGGGGGCTATCCTGAAAAATGCTGTTTTGAGAAAATCAAAGGTAAAGTTTTTGCCCCTTGTTCAGTTTCTTTAAAAGACAAGGAGAGTTTTCTCTATAACCAAACAAATATACACACTAATGAAACCAAACTTCTTCTACAGGTAGGGCAATGCCCACTTTTGGTGTAGGTCAAGATTTCTGGAAACCCCCGAAATCTGGGTTAGGCTCTTGTCCTTAAAAGCGACCATTTCTCTTGGCGCAATTGTGTTTCTCTGGACGCCTGCTGGTGAGGTAGGAGACTGGACTGGTTCACAGAGGCGATGGCGTTCCGTTTTCTCTAAATGGCATCGCTCCCCAGTTCGGCTTCCTCGGTCACATGATTTAAAAAATGAAATGGTATGGGTTTAACTCCCCTATCAACACTATTAGGTTATTTAAGGGATGGCACCTCCATGTTTAATGTCCGTCTCCGATAGGACCGAGCCAAGTGGGAAGTTCGTGTAAAGTGCCTTTCCCAAGGACTCAACGTCGGACCGAACTGAGGCTCATCCCCCGAACCCACAATCTCACGATTACGAGTCCGGTAGCTTAACCACTGGGCTACCGACGCCACCCTGTTACATGATTTAATTAATTCAGCTTTGTACTATTATGGCCGAGGGTGCGGTGGCGAAGCGGTTAGTGCGCTCGTCTCCGAAGCGGAAAGTCCGGGTTCGAGCCTCGGTTCGGACACGGATTTTTTCGCCCC